AGCCGAGCCGTGCCGTGCCGTGCCGAACCGAGTCGTACCACGCAGTGGAAAAGCGCCATAAGTAGTATGTAATGTCTTTTTTTTGTATGTGCTTAAAGGCCTTGAAGCATTTGAATACCGGTAATCGCTACTTGCAGCTATATTTATTTTTTTATTTTACAGTGTAATATTATAATTGCAAAATTGTTATTTTGTTTTCATTTCTATTTTTTATATTTCTATTTAAAAATAATAGTAATAATTATTAGTATTATTTGCAATGTATTCTTTATTTTATTTATTTAACATTTTAAATTGCAGTCACCATTTTAATGAAAGTATTAGGGGTTTCCCCCAAATTGTGCAGCCCTATATGCTACTCTCATGAATTTAGTTTAGCACACAAATAACATGAAATCATTATCCTGAAGGTAAAAAAAAATTACATGAATTTAAGCTGTAAATTCAGTTATAAGTAGTTAATGTACTGCTTTTGGCATATTTGTTCCATGATGTGCTGCATTTTAATGTAGTGACAGTAATGATTGCTTGTGAAAATTCTGCTTTGAATTGTGTTCTAAATTGCAGAAATCACATTCTGCCTGCAAATAATATATTTTCATCTAAATAATTATCAACAATGCACACTTAACTTAGAAGACACACTAACAATCTCATTCGGCACACTAACTATCTCACTCATACATCAAACAGTATATTGGAGTTCCATCCAATTTAAGACCTGGTTGCCTTAGTCTGGTCACCCTACATGCAAAAAATTGCTTGAATCAGCCCAAGCAACCAATGCACCACTGTCCCCACCACTTTTTATGACAAAGCTATGCCACTGCACATAGCAACCACCTACCAATGCCTTAGCAACCACCCAGAACATTTTAGCAACCACATAGCAATGCCCTGACATCCACAGCATCCCTGTATACTGTACCGTCAAGCAACACTCAGAAAATGTGATAATTTAGTCTTCGTCTGTTGGATCCTCAGCCATACATTCACACATGGTAATTTTCTTTTATCTAGAGAGGGTTTGTTACTCAGGACTGTTAACAATATTCGGATCTCTGAACTCTCTGTAGATAATTCATAGAGAGTGTGATTCAGTATGCCAAAACACACAGCAGTCATGTGTCTTGAGCGTCTTTTATTACTCAGGCTTGTGTAATCCGCTAATTTGCTCCATTGGAGACTTTTATCTGATTTATCAATGTCTTCCTCTTCCTGTCCCTCTGATTCTCCTTTATCTTCTGTAGTCGATAAAGGGCTCGTCCCTGTCATCAGCATAACAAGGCTGATTACCTGCTATTAGATCTCATTAAGGGCTGTCTGTATGGCGACACAGTCTTCCCACATTCCACCTGCCTGTCAACACCCCGGCCAATCTCTCAGAGCCTCTCTAGCCTGCCTGACGGCAAAAGGGTGGGCTGGAGATGCTGCAGGCCAGACTTAAAGACGCACACACACACACACACACACACACATAAAAAAATCTCTGTTCACAGGGAGTAACTTTCTATTCATGAGGCATGTGGCAAAACCTACTTCACAACCCATGCTAAAAAAACATGTACTCACACAGAAATTCCACTTAAAAGTTTATGGCTTGTTTGTATGTAGATCAAGTTTTAGATGTGGCTAGAAAAAAGAAGTTGAGTGTTTGTGGCTCATTGAATAAAAACATCAGATGATTGCAAACAAAGGATGAGAAAGTATTAAAAATAAGACAATAGACTTAGGTAAATATAAATGAATAAAAATGAATTAAGAGGCATTTAAGATCTACTCATAAAGTTTGAGAGATTTTTTAAACATTTCTTGTTGCTTTGTACTAGTGTGAAATTGTGAAAATCATAAACTTCACACTTCACATCAACCACAACACAAAACTCTCCAACAGGACCTTGTTTATTCATTTTCAACTGATTAATTCTTTTATTTGAAAGGCTCACGTTGTATATGTTTTTTAGGGCTGGGAGGAGAGTGTTGATGCAGCCGTCTCCCACCTCTTAAAAACGTGTCTGTCACGCAGCCCCAAAGATCAGGCCATCAGCTTGAGCATCGGCCCGCTAACCATCCCAAAAGACACGTCACGCCTGAAGAAACACATCACGCTGCTTTGTGACCGCTTGGGCAAGGGTGGCCGTCTCTCTCTCTCCTCAGAAGCCAATGTCCCTACAACAATCATGATGCCAGGTCAGAAATATCTTAGTTTGAAAGCTTTCATGCATAGAGGAGTCATTTTTGGCTTAAAGGGTCTTCATTGTAAAACTTAAAAGCCAATATGTTTAAAACGAGTAGGGCAGGAGCTAATGGCATTATTTGGAGCCCAATATAGAACCTTGGGGTACTCCATATACGATGCACGCAGAGATAAAAGACTAGTTCCCACTATGTAACAGCCATAGTTCTATATTTAAGACCACTTTAAAGCTTTGCTACTCATGCCATACCAAGGTATTAATAATAGGCCTACTTCCTATGTTGCAGCAGTACAGATTGTAATGAGGCTACAGCTCCAGATAGGAACATCTGTTTTCATCTTGTAGGATGAATTACATTTGTATTATCAACAGAGCTGTCAGAATGAGCTTTTAACATGCTAGATTTATTTAAAATGTTCAACTTAACATGAACTTAATTTTTTTATGGTGATTAACGCGTTTACCAATTTTGATGTGTTTTTGACAGTTCATACAAAAATATGCTGCATGTTTGAAATAGCCTACTTTTCTGAATGCAAGTGCTCACATTTTTTATGTGCACACTAGCATTCAAAACTGCCAGATTGTGTGAATGCACTTGTGTACGTTTGTGAAGCTAAAAGACTGCATTCACATTATCTAATTAAAAATGTCCAAAACAGAAATCTGTAGAAAGTGGAGATTTCTGTTTTAGTGCATGAGAAAAAACTCATTTTGAGGAAGCTGCCTTTAAAGATTGAAATCTACAGACACAAATAGATAACGTGTATTAAAATAATAATTTAATGTGTATTCTGGATGTTCTCTTTCCATTAGCCTGAAAGAACACATTCTATGCAATCAATCAATCAATCAATCAATCTCAAACTTGACCAGTGCAATGAAAAACAGCCTTTCACCAAAGTGTAAAATTGTAAAAGTCTTGTTTTGTCTTTCATTTTGGTAGTAAACTAAGTAGAAGACTCAGAGTACATTCACATGTTACACTAATGCTATTGTAGTAACGTGCAGGGGCAACTAGGATAGAAAGAATAGAGCTTTACTTTATAGGACACATAAAACGGCAGAGATCCCTGTGGAATGTGTGAATGATTAACTCGATGGGTTCTGTTATCAGACGCCTGTCCTCCCTGAAGTCTCGGACTGTCTCGCTCTCTCTGGTGTTTGGACACTAGGTGTGTAGATATTATCCTCCCCTCAGATGGCAGGATGTCTGAGCACACAGTGTTTGGTCAGTTGCCAGTCGTGTGGAGGAGAATGAGTGACTAATCTCAGAGAATCCTGCTTAAATTGCTTTTGTCTGATGAAATATGTCTGCAGGACGTGTTGTTCCATTGCTTCAAGTTTAAATTCAATCTCTTGACACTCTCTCATACACACACTTGTGACCTGGCTGTTTTATCTGTCTGATTTGTGTCTTCCTGTCTGCCTTCCCCTCTCTGAGTCCTGTTCTCCCTCACCTGACCTTGCGTTGAAGTGATGACATCACATGGGAGGACTGCTACACTCCCTGAGCACCTGCCTCTGAGATAATGCTTCAGCATTTGTAATTTTTGTATCAGAGGGACCTTGTGTTTTCGTTTCATTTTCTTTAAGATCTTCGTTTGAATGAACCACTGGAGGTCATGGTTCGTTCATGGAGGAGTCAGTGTTTGGCTCACTTGTTAAAGGCAAGCCATATTTAGAGATTCAGAGACAGCAAAGCGATATTCTGATGATTACTGTGTACAGAATTTTCCAAATTCGATGGAACGTGAAGTTTTAATCCAACAAAGGCCGATCTGAGAAAGCAGTGGCTGGTAAACATATGTGATTATTTCACCACAGGGTGTCAGTGCTCTAAACTAGTAATTGCAAAGCTGCAGTGTGTGATGAATAAGATCAGAATGAACCTTTATTTATCTGTATTAAATATGTTAGTCACTATTCTCTGTCATTTTTCATGCCAAAAATGACAAAATATGAATATTCAAAGTAGTCGCACTGTCAACGCCTTGCTGTTTAAAATTAAATGTTTAAAATCGTTAAATTTCTTTAAGGCAGTTACCGCACATTAATTCAGCCATTTTAAACATTGGAATAAGAGCAGCAACGTACACAAGCAATACTGAAAATTAGCCATGGTTTTATTACAAATAAAATGTTAAAAAATTGCAATGGTAGTTAAACCATAGTAACCACAAATTAAGCCAGGTTTTGCTACACTAACCATAGTTTAACTATGGTATTTGTAGTAAAATTGTGGTTATGCAAATGGTAATCTGCAACATGGTTACTACACTTTTACTATAGTAAAACCATGGTTAATTTTCAGAAGGGTGTTTATCAGTCAAATTCATTTAAAACTGTCAATTCAACAGATATGAAATATGATCAGTAAGAGAAAAATACTCTTAATGAGAAGACAATCGCTGGACCAATATATTGGGGAAATATATTTATTATTCAGAAAGCATATTTATAGGAACATTTCAACAGGTTGAGGATAATTCATGTTAATGCAGAGAATATGATAAAATCTTTTCTTTTTTTTTTTTTTAATGCCAGCCCTAAAACTTGGTAATAATCTGCATTCTCATGAGAAACTGTCCGTATGTAGGTGTGCTAAACGCTGACTGGAAACTCCCGAGCTGTACTAGAACGTGGAAGTAGTTGTGCAAGTAGTCCATGGAGTAATAATCATCATATGTAAGCTAAATGAATGCATTTTAAAAAGTGTTGTAATAAACCTATTCATTGTAATGCTTAAAATACTATATTCAGTATTAAATGGGCATCTCTTCTAATTAGTTGATTAAAATATTCCAGACACATCATCCATCGCTAAACTTTCTGTAAATAAAAACCTTGGCAGTAGGACTAAAAACTCATATTGACTTATATTTACTGCAGATTTCTGTGCTTCTACAGCAGTGACCAACTGTGAAGTGGAAACATCTAGAAGAAACAACAACTTAGTTGTTGATAGGAACCTCAAACTCATGGTGCAGAACTGCTGAGTGGTGTGGAACGTTGCACATTAACATGGTTTTACATGCTTTCAACACTCACAACAATTTCCTGATTGAACAATTTTTCTGGAGGAAATGTCATCACAAGAACTATTCAGTGCGTTTCTTTGCCATTTGACTAATTAACTTCTAATTGTCCTTTTCCTTAAACAGGACTGATTATCAAATATAAAACCCAGTGACACACATGAGAGGAGATACTAAGGCAGGCCTAGGCTAAAGTAAATCTTTTAGATAAAACAAGTCCATTTTTTTTTGTGTCTTGCTTCTCTCATGAATTGAAACCGTAAATGGAGCCAAGAGTTCGTTCCAGGCTGAGACCAGACACTATTAAGTTGCTTGTTAGCAGATATCAAGTTTTGTTTTTGTAACATTTGAAAGCATTCTTCTTGTTCAGTTGTAGGTGTAGTTAAGTGTCGATCACAGACAAACCCTCCTGCTGTAAGGCTGCCGTACATCTACACAAATACCTGTGTTATGAGACCTGCGTCTCTGATCTGAAATATTGCTCCTAAATGAACAGCCTGTTGAGGTCTGTGTAAATATTAGAGGAGGATTATGATAAGCTTTTCTCAGGAAAGTAAGCAGTCTCACCCAATTTGTCTATTTGGGGTATGTGGTGTAAAAAAGAGGAAACAAACTCCAAAAGGATTGTGGGTAAGAGGCTGGCCCGAGAGACGTAAGAGGCTGATTCATCAGTCCCCTTCAAAACTCCTAATTCTGGCTGATCCTCAGCACTGAGTGTCAAATCCATCTGATGGAGTCCAGCAGGTGCACTCTGATCTGCCAGCAGTTTGGAGAAATTTTAAATATGTCAACAGTGTGTCAGTATGGCTTTTCTATTACACAAAGTATAATTCACATTACTGCTCAATGAGTAGAATGTAACCCTGTAAGGCCTGACTTATGAAATAATACTCCAAAAAAATCCCCCCCCCCACTTTTTTTTTTAAGAAACCACTTATTGAAACAACAAAACATTTTTTTAAAAGTGCATATGTGTTTTATGTTTTTTATCATATTTGATAAATAAGGTGTTTATGGTATAGTGATATAGTGAGAATATGGAGCTCATACTTTATTCATACTTTATTCAGAAGTCCAAACTGAGCAAAATAAACAATTTGGTGAAGATGTTGTTATTTATATGGCCTAAAGTAAGATGAAAGTCCGATTCTGTATTGTAAAGCAATGACATTTTTATAACCGTATAGTAGACTTCTTGCATTAAATGCATATAAATATCAGTTGTTACTCTATATCTCTCAGTAAAATGTCTTAGAAAGATGATATTTTTATGAGCAGAGCTCTGTAGTTTTCATTGTTGGGGCAATGTTTATAATGCAATGCAATATGGCGTTATTTTACTGACAAACGTCGAGAGCGCATTATTGTAGCGCGAAAGCACATTAATACAATGCGCGAGCGCGGATCTCTCCACTCGCGCGCGGATTTCCTTTGCTCTCGGCAATACCATGATGATTGAGAGATGTACATTAAACGTTCCTCAAAAGCTTGATGTATAGTATTTTATTCTCAGATTTCAAAAAGCCTATTCTAAAAAATCTTTTAGATTTTAGAGCAAAAACACAAATGTACCACAACCTAAAGGTGGACAGTTTTAGAATTATACTAAACTTTTACTTACTAAAAAGCCTGAACTATCAATCAAAGGGCATGTGTACAAGTTTGTCAGCAAAGTTTTGTTTATGCTGATATTTTAAAATTCATGCATCCAGCAGGATACTGAAGACTTTACAGTGTTAAGTGGAGTACAGAGTTATGCTAACCAGTAATTTATAATTAATGATGAATATATTTATGTTGTTCTGCAGTTGGTTGTGAGTCCATCCCTGAACCGATAGTTGAGCAGGAGGAGGAACCACCACTGGAGCAGGACTCCGCCAAGTACATTAAAAAGAAACAGCCATCCAAGAGAATCAAGAGCAAGTCAGGTAAGACATGTGGCTGTCCCAACACCTCAGAAAGCCTCGCTGTTGCACTGATTTAACAAAGTTGGAAAAATAAATGTGACATTGTATACTGCAGATTGATAGAAAATCTCTACCAAGAAGATAACCAAGTAGTTGTGAAGAGAATGTGAACAAGTAAATCAGAGTCAAGTTCTGTGATATGTAAGTTTGTGTTCATATATAGATGTTTAAGCAGGTCTGCAGCACCTTCTTTAATTTGTTTAATCCAGAGCCACAGACATTGTTAATGAGCTGAAGATTTGTGAAATGTACACACAGAGAAGAACAATAAACACTCAAAAAAAATTCTAAATGACCAAATTGCCAAAATCCAGTTTCTAAGTGATGAAACTCCAATTTATGTAAAAATGAAAGCAAGAAAAGAAACATCATTCAAAACATATAGGCTACATATCCTCTGGTAAGCTTAAAAAAAAATCTCATTAGTGTTGGAATGTCTGAAATGGGTAGTAATTATTGACTAGTTCTGTGTAATTGCTTTGAACTGTTTAAATTGCTGATGAGCTTTACTAAGATGTTTAACCCCATCAGGGTCCCAAAGAACCTGTGTTCAACATGTCCGACAGGAAATGAATGAATATGAGAAAAACTTTTGGAATTGTGTGGATTTCTGTATGAATAGATTTTAAGTGTAACATCACCTTCATTAACCCCCTGGGGTCGAGCTCGCTTTTTTTCTGATCAGTGCGAAAGACACTAAAAATACTCTGTCGATTTTGGTCACACATATAAGTGTTATACATCATTCAAAACTGTTAAGCGTCTACTTTTATTTGTGTACACTCACAATAACAACAAAACTTTGTGCTTTTGTAAAATAAAGAAAACAAACAGGGTGCGCTTTCTGTCTTCTCAGTCTCCGCGAAAATCTTTCTGAAACGCATCACAAAAATGAACTGAAACTCAGCAAATATTTGACACAGACATGAGAGATATATCTATAGAAAGCTTGAAGTGTCTACTTTTAAATGAAGTAAGTCATGTCGAAAACAAGTATTCTGTGATTAAGGAATCTGTATGAAACCAACGCGAGGTCCAGTTTTTCTCGTCTGAGCTCATTATCTGTAATGTGATCACGCGCAGCGCACGCTATTCATACGGTAATCATCCACGTGAGAAGCGCAAACCTGTAAACGCCCACATCACCTCCGTAAACAAAGTCTGAAGATTCATCAAGTTCATCTCGGATACTTTTCGTTTCTGGAAGAGACGCGCTGAGAGGAATGAGCCAGAATTTACCTCAGAAGAAGAACGCGACACAACACGCAGCTTGAGCTGCGGAGGAGATCATTTCTGACGAGTAAGTCATGTTTTATTATTTGCATTAGTTGTTATTGTGTTATTGTGACATAAACTTGAACACATTTACTAGTTGGGTTTTTTCCCAAACTATAATTCCAGACTAAAATGTTTGAAATCGAGTGAAACATTTTGAAATATGATAGGCAATTTTCATTGTATCTAAATTTCATACAATGCGAGGATGTTTTTATGCTCTATATAATACAACAATACGATATATATTATATATATATAATACAGATGCTCCTGATATCAACATGTTCACAGATGTTTTTGTTTTGTTTTAGTTGTTTGTTCTTTAGTGATCTGATTCCTGCACCACAGATGAATCCTGCTGACTTTCAAACTGTTTTCCTCTGAGAGCGCTGTACCAATATCAGATGTTCAACTACACTGAAATTCTACACAAATATGGTAAAGCAAGCTCCTTGACTACTGATGGTGGTTTTTGTTTCTCTTGAATCCATGGAAAAACGCAGCAAACACTGGAAATATCAGGTATGGTTTACTTGTTTCACGTGTTGAACAAAATCTGTTTTCAGGAATGACACAAAGTCTGTTCAGGTCTCTGTGTTTAGATCAGTGTGATCAATAATGTGTCTTTGACCTTTATTATGTATATTTTTATTTTACTGTGTTGTAAATAAAATACAAATAATCAAACCCCCCATTATTTTAGTCTCCTCACAATCTTTCTTACCTGCCTCACAGTCACAGTCACACTGATGGGCCATTAGGGGAGGGCCCTTTGTCTCTCAGGTGTGAATCACTAAATATTAATGACCATTGTCACTCCCTTGCATACGGCCTTTCTAACACAAAACATGTCTTACAAAAGTTAAATCAATATATTGTTTTCTGTGAATGAGTAAGCAGGATGTTTTTCCACATCATTTTAAAGTGAATATTCTAGACAAGACTGATTACTCAAAAGTCTGATTCAGAACTATTCAGTATGGGTTTTATGGCCTTATTTCAGTAAAAAAATTTTCTCAAAACTTAGTAACCACACATAATCTTTTTTTTTTCTAAAAAATGCAAACATGTACATCCATCTTGCTCACATATTATTGTAGCACAGATTGTGTTGAATAAAAAAAATACATATTGGCCAATAGTATGTTATAAGTAGCTGAAATAGGAAAAATTGCCTCAACCTCATTTTTGCAGAACTCCAAAAACAGATCTATATGAACACTAGCGGCAGTAAAACTCTTATTAACTTTTACAGTGACAGTAAAACAGAATGAACTTACATTCCTTTTCCAACAAATTATGATTATCGATTAATAATATTTTTGTGCTGTTTCTTGAACGATACTGTGTTATGACCCCAAAACACTTTCACCATAGTGCATGATTTATAAACTAATACATTTGGACTTTTGCAAAACCAACATAACCTGCTCCAAATGTGTGGCTTTTCTGAAGAAGTAAACTTGCTCAGTTGCTCACCTGGTATAGCGTTGGACTTGCAATATGGACTGCTCAGGTGTACTGCCTGTGAAACACTAGTAAGGAATCAAAAATAGAAGAGATCAAAGACTAGCATGGTGTGGTTTCTTTAGCAAATGAGTTTTTATCCCACACATTTCACTTTGAAAGTGTCACATACTGCAATAAGCATGGTAATAACATTTTGTAGAAATGACATCACAGGAGCCTGTGTTGTTAATTTTAGTTACTACAGTTGCTGTTACCTATTTCCCAGATATTTAATATGTTTAGATTTCCATGGCATGAGCACTGATAACAGTAGATCGTCAGTAGTGCACCTCAAATATTGGAGAAACTCTGAATGCTCATTAGTTGGTTGTTGCTTTTGTCTTTGAAGAGGCAGATCTGCTCAGACATGTACCTCAGTCGCCAGCTCTCCTCTGTCTGAGGTATTCAACATGTACCATTCCCCCTAACAACATAGAAATATTTAGACAGAGGAAGCCATTAAACAGGAACAGTGAGGAAGGATATCTGATACAGTTGAAAGGATTCAAACATTGTCTCTGATGTTAATTGAAACAGAAGCCACTCTTTCATGTGTCTTTCATCTCTTTTAATACAAATTCAAAGTCACATGTCGTCTGTGTATCGCACATCAGATCACCAACTAGACTCTGGAGTAACACTATATATTTATAAACATGGATTGTTGGCTATTAAACACCCTAAATTCGGATCCATGTAATTCTAGGAGTGGCTTAACTGCCGGCAATACAGGCAAGGCAACCGCACTGGGGCCCTCCAATATTTTTGAAGTTTTATGATTGCAATAACAGATAATACAGCATACCTCGCTTTTTTTGCACAAACTTAAAATGTATTAAAATTATAGTAATTATTGTAATTCTTACACACTATGCATCCAATTGACTCAACTGTTTATCCTAAATGTAGCTTCATTAAATAAAATGCAGCCTTCCAACTATAAATAAACACTGTCAGTTTTATTATTTCAAGGGATGAAAATGAACCTTTAAGACTGTATTTGTTGCATTTTGCAATGTAGCCATTTTTTATGTTTTCTTTTGCTTTCTATATTTTTTTTTCCACTGAAAAGGCAACAAACAAAAATAAAAATAGCTTGCTGGTTAAATAGTGTCTAAAGTTGAAATGTTATAATAATTCTTAACCTGCAATGTAAATTATTTAAAAAAATGTTATCAGGAACAATATATTATGGAGAAAAAAATAATAAAATATGGACAAATCAAAAGAAAAAAAGTCCTCTTCTTTGCCTTCAAGTGACTGTTTTGTTTGATGCGTGCATTCCAGTGGTAAGAACGATCTTTCCTTCCCTTATTATAGCGAGCACTAGCAAGAAGTTTAAGAGGTGTGTGGATGCGTGTCCGCGTTATCTGACACCTGATGACACACATGATCTTTGCGTAATTTGTTTGGGTGAAGAGCATGCATGTGATGTCCTTGAGGGGGCAATCTGCGTCCACTGCGAGCGTTTTTCAATGAAAAAGCTCCGCTCTCGTCTGTCTCTCTTTTTTGAGGAAAGAGGGGCAGCTGTCTGCGCCCCGCGGTTCAGGACCCGCCGCTGCTGAGGCACAGAGGAGAATGAGTTCGTGGGGGTCGCAGGCGGATCTGGCCGATGAGTTCAAAGAGGGGCTTTCCCTCTCGCGCTCGTCGGCCGCGGACGAGGGTGAGCCGCTGGATGATGATGGTGTGATTTCCCTAACATCATCTGATCCAGCGGCCAGTGCTCTGCTGGGTTCTGCCCAGGAAGAGCAGGATATGTCTGAGGGGGGCGAAGAAGTTGAGACTGAGCCCTCCCAATCCTCCTGCCCTGCGTATGATGAGCTTTTGGAGGTTATGGAACGCGCCACGACGAGGCTTGACTTGCCGTGGAAGCAGGCCAGGAAGATGGCGCCGCAAGGTCGTCTCGACGAGCGTTATCTTTCTGACCATAGCCCCCCAGCTCAAGTGAGCCTTCCTCTTCTTCCTGATCTCCATACAGAGATCGAGAAGGAATGGAAGAGGCCATTTTCCTCCCGCATCCATAGGTTCCAGCATACAAGTTATGCCAACATCGAGGGGATGTGCGAAAGTGGCTATGAGAGGATGCCCCCTATAGAAGAGACGCTGGCTAGCTATCTCTCTGTAGGTGAGACATCCTCTCTCAAGGCTCCCTCCTTGCCATCTAAGCCCCTTCA